GCCTGGTTTATTGTGTATCCTGACATATTACTCTGTAGGTAGTTCGTATTTACGCAGGGACCAGGAGGCTTGTGGTACTCATTGTGTGCGAGAGCCTAGGTAGGAAGATATTAATTTCAGAAGTTTTCAGTTATGCCAAAAAGAAAAACAGCAGGAAAAGAACCACATGGTCAACACGAAAAGAGCGCTAGCGAAATCGGAATAGGCTATGTAAAACGCAAGAGCATTGCCCTAGATTAGAGTAATTGAGCAAATAAAGAGAGCTGGCAGGTATAACAATATCTTTCTTTTGAGAAACCCGTACTGAGTCACATTAAGTAGTTCATTCTCTGTTAAGTGATACAGTATCCTATTTTTGATGAAAATCATTAATATATTCTAAGTTGCGGGAAACGTGCTTATTGGCCTAAAATCATCAAATGACGTAGATTGGCCGCGTTTCAGGATACACAGAACGTACGCTTTTTTCCATAAGCTTAGGGAGGAGTTGTTTTCAAAGGCAAGATTAAATATCTTACACAGGAGTGGCAGAAAGATATAATTTTCACCGGCCTTTAAAATGCTGACAGGGTTGTTATCTGGTCCCGGACTTTAAGATTGATGGAATTATCGAATGTTTACAGTTACGTCACAGAGGGTAAACGTTATGGTTTCAAGGACGGTACGATCCGAATCTGGATTTACAGAATTGCAAAGGTCAAATTTCCCAAAAACGTTTTAGAACAGAAAACGTTGTAAAAGTCAGCTGTCAGCTTGGCGTCAGCCATGGTCATTCCAAAGGCGTCTTAAAAGATAGGATACCACGTTCTTCAAGAAGCTTTTACTGTTTGGGAAAAGGGTTCCGCGACATTTACGAACGGTTTTCGGCAGATTTGACCTCGTGTGTCATACGTTTTTTTTTCGGGTGGTCCCTTAGCTTGGTCAAAGATAATTTAAATCAAAGGCAACACGGAAATGTTTCGTAGATGGAAATAATGAGAGCGGCTACACAGTTCAAGGAAGGTAAACTTCATCCAGAACATCAATCCTTTTCTTATGGGGAACAAAACGAGAAATGATTGAACTCAAAACTTTGCATAGCTTATCTGTACAAACATTCACATCCAAACTTAGGAAGAAGTTCAATCATGGGAATTAAGATGTGTCACTAATTCTGCCGAAGAGACTGATCGGAAATCATAGAAAAAATTATATTTGGAAAACGTTTCGCCAGCTTTAAGTTCTAGCTTAGAAACAACTATTTCGCGGTCTGAAATCCCGAGTAGGTCTAAAGATGACAGTGACAATGATAAGCAAACTCTGCAGAAAATAAGATCAAGTATGCTTGAGCATCGGGTAGGGAAGTCAACTGTCTGATCCCACATGCCGATATCTATGGCCTCGACTAAGTCCTCGGCACGAATTTCGGTTGCTGATCCGGTGCAATGTCTCTTACGCCCTGATGGCGTTCGCGGTCTCTTTACTCTGTGCCAGACTTCATACTGAGGGCAATGCTGCTCACGCTGCAGCCCGCAATCGGCTACCGAACAACCGTTCGCCGATACATTTCTATCTGGTACACAACACTGAAGAGAAACCGACACCACCGTGCACTAGTACCACCCCATCCCCGTCCCAAACTACTAACATTCCACGAGTTGCCATTGTTTTCTGAAAAACACCAGTTACTGGCAAACACCAGAAAGAAGGTTAAGGAGTTTTTCATTACCAGCTCGATCTCCTACTCTATATTTCTTTTGACCTTTACCTGTAAACTATCAATAAATATAAACGTATATTTGCCGAATAAACCTTTCAAATATCAAAAAGTAGTTAAATACTGTTTATTTATCACCTGAGTCTGATCCTGCTTCCGGTATTCTTGTCCTTGGTGTTAAGCTAAAGCACGGGAGCTGCAGCGCAAGTCCACTTCTACTTAAAACCAATGCAGCCCAGGTGATCATCCCTGCATCAAAGTCCTGTGATGCACACGGTGAACCTTGTCGAAACCGACTGCCGAAGGGCTCCGCCAGTAAACTTCAAGTATGAACTCACAGATATCATTATTAAACAAGTTATACGCAGGGTGATTACTTAGGTTGCATACTGTTTCAAGATTGCCGGAGACACCGATAATGCTATATCCTCTTGACGACTTTATATGTCCTGACTATTCTTCACTTTCACATGCAGGTGACAGTTTTGAATACGGCACCCGTTGGGTATTAATTGCATGTTCTTCTCACTCAGTCCACTGGTCGGCGGCACTTAGTGTGAGCCATCAGGCTGTCCCTTGAGTGCGCCATTTTACACATATTTGAAGCACGATTTTTGGCCGGTAAATATCGGGGTCGCCATCTTACATCCTGTTGCTTGTCTGGTGGGTTTCTACACGATACCCACACAACCTTTGCATGTCAATAATGAAATGATGGAGCCCTTCCATACGACCAATCTTAACCGAATTTCGGTGAGTACAGTGCAAGTTCTATTCCTGGACATTGGGCAATTTCAAAGAAAAAATCTCAGGGATGGTTTACACGTACCACACCATTGAACTTTATGTAAGTTAAGACCGAACGAGATTTTTGAGGACAGGATTTACTGACAATCTTTGCAGGAGCATTATTATGACGGCGCCAAGCTGATATTTGATGGTTTCCAGAAAAAAGTTAGTGAGGCGTTCCTTTTTATATAAAAAGTGGTAGGAATAAATCATAGGCCGCCCAAGTGCAAAAGTCTCCTAGCCGAGGTGGGTGGGTGTGACAGAATTCGTGGGGAAAAGGATTAGCAATCACTTTAGAATTTATATCTTTAGCGCCGGAGAGACACCGTCTAAACAAATTTAGTATCAGGGTAAAATAAGGACAGTGTGCAAATAAAATGTACAAATGTGTAATAATGTAAACAGAAATTTTAATTCAGGGCAACACTTAGCAATGGTTAAAATTAATGTTGAATTAAGAAATAGACAGTAAGAAAAACTCCTACGCTAAAAATAGAGTCAGAGTTCAACGGGCCGCCATTTAAAAACTGCCTAGGAGAATGAAATACAAGGGTAGAGTAGGCCATTACTACAATAGCGGTTCTGAATAGGATAATTAACGCATATATGGTCAGGTCAGTTTTATTATGGGAAATGTAGATAAATGCCTTTGAATTCCCTATTGGTACAGAGCAGCTATGAAGTGCATTGGTTCAGCAGAACACTGCAAAGGAGTGACGTTGTCAGTAGATGGAACTGGTAAAAAGAGCATTTTTCGGAAATTCTAAAGGTTTGAATGTCATTTGAGAGATTTAAAGGAGAAAAACTGTCACCCGTGAGGGTAGGGGGAGTATATGCAGAATCGAATAGCCTGCTGCTGGGAGTGTTTGAAGCATATCAGCAGAAGTCCACCGCGGTCTTTATCAATATCTTTGGGGTCACAAGAGGAGAATATCGCAGGGGTTCACGAGAACATCACAGTGTCGGAGATGCGCCCATCATACGCCCTTGTTGGTAACCGAGTCTGCCGAACAGGTGCCTAGAAAGAGGGCTCCACCACGATCTTTGGCAGTCGGTTATGGACAGCCATTATGAAGAATTTTACAGGGCCATGCAGCCTAGGACAACAAGGTTCGGTGGAGGCGATCGTTGCAATTCGCATAAAAAGTAAAGTGTGCGAGGTAATAATTCTATACAAATACTACTAAAAAGAAGCGGGTCGTATGTTTTTATACTCGGCGATGTCCTGTGACGTTGCTTTTTGCTAATCTCAGATGACGTGGTGGCTATACTGGTCTAACTGCACCTTAAACGTATCCACAGATGGGGACATGACAATGTCCGCGGGCAGAGCACTCCATGCCTAAATTACTATCTTAGAGAAGAAGAATTTTCGTGGGTCCAATCTTGCCCCTGTCACACGTAGTCCGCGCAAACTAGTGGTAGTGGCCAGCTCACAGAAATCGTTGGATTCTAGGCAACAAACCTGACTGCGCAGCAAGAGAAATGCCTGTATTAGGTCACCGCGTAACTGTCTGCAGTCCAGAGGAAAAAATTCAAGACTGATCAATCGTGTCTGATAGGGGAGGTACCCTTGACCTCGCACCAAAT